CGGGGGCAGGGTTCGGCAATTGCGGAGCCCGTGGCGAAATCCACACCCCCTGCCCCCGCCTCCCATCGGCTCAGGCGGATCGATGGCTGCTGGGGCTATATATATATATATATATATATATATATAGGGCCATTGGGTGTCGCCACCCACCGGCGCCGCTCCGAGGACTCCGCGAGGGGCCTCCAGGAGTTCATGCTCGTGCCATGTGTCTGCTCCCCGAGCAGAGGCGGCCGCCCACTGCACGCGGCTGGCGTGGACGGCGCCCCCGGGCCCCGGGCGCGCCGTGCACGGCTTCGCTGGCTGGTTCGACGTCACCTTCGAGCCCCGGGAGTGGCGCCCCGAGGAGCCGCGGGGGGGACGCCGGGCCTCCATGAGCGCACGGAGCAGTTCGATGCGGCAGTGCCCTGGTCGTTTTTTGTTCGGCCCCGGGGCGCCCTCGTCGGCCCCGAAAAGGTTCTCCAAGAGAGCCCCAAGACGACGCGGCGGCGACCCCAGCGCGGGGTTCAAGGTTGAACGCCGCCAGTGGCCCGAAACCCGCCAGCATGGAACGATCGGCGATGTCGGAAAGCGCCGATCGTTCAAGGCTGGAAGACCCACGCAGCGTCAGAAGCCAGCGCCAGGGTCGTCACGACACGAGCATGCTGTACCGACACCGCTGCTCCCCTCCCCGGGCCTGCCCCGAGGTGCGTTCTGACCACATCCTCCGAGGCGCGTCCAGCCGCGGGAGGCCCCAACCTGCTGCAACAGCGAGGGAAGGGCAGCGGTATCCCCCAGACATCCTGCGCCCCCATCGTCTCGCGACACGGGCCCACGACCGCTCGACCGCTTCCCCGACACCGCTTCTCTTCGTCCCGAGGCGTTTTTTTTTTTTTTTTTTTTTTGTTTGTTGTTTTTTTTTGTTTTTGTTGTTGTTTTGTTTTTTGTTTTTCTTTCCTCGGCACGGCCCCCCGAGGCCCAGGGCAAGAAAGGGCCCCGAGAGGCCGAGCAAGAGGAACAGCACCTCCGCACCTCGCGCTCCCGAGGCGCCTGCGGCAGAGCTCCGGGCGGGTGCCCCGCTCCTCCCCCGCGAGGAGCTGCTGGCCGCGCCGCTCGCCTCGCGCTTCGCGCGCGCGGGCGAGGCGCCGCGGCCGCCGCCCCGCGCCCGGCCGGACGCCGCTGCCGCGGCGCCCGTCGGCGCGCCGGCCGCTGCCGCGGCGCGGGCACCGCCCGCGTGGGGCGGCGGCGGCGGCGGCGTGGTGCTCAGCAGCGCGCCGGACAGGCCCCGCACGTGCTGGCACCAGCAGGAAGGGCCCGAGCGCGGCGCAGTCCTGCGGGCGCCGGATAGGGCCAGGCGAAGGATCCGAGCACCGGGCTCGCCTATACAGGCCCACCAAGGAGTGTCCCAAGAACCGTGTGCGGTTTCCACGAGGTGCTCTTAGAGCATCTCTGGTTGGGACCGTCTGGTTCTAACACATGGCTTGTGCTCTAAGAACATGGTTTTGGTTCTTGGAACATTTCTGGGTTCTAAGACCCTGTCGTGATATCCCTATAGGAATGCCGGGACGGTCGGTCCCCGCTCGAAGGATACATCCGTTCCAGAGCGTTCCAGAACGCTCTTGGAGCGTTCCGGAGCGCTCCGAGAATGCCGCGGTCCCCGAGGCATGCTGCAGAGCCGCCAGATCGCAGAGACTCCCGATGCATCCTGTTTTTCCGAGCCTCCTGCCCCGCGGAGCGGAGCGACACGCTATCCGCTCGCAGGGCATGGGGTGTCGCTCGGGCCGCCGCAGCGACACGCTTAGCAAGAGTCCCTGCCCGTAGACCCCCTCGCCAGCGGAAGAACAGGCACCAATGCCGCTGCTCGTCCTGGAGAGGTCTCGACGCCCTGCTGGGCTCTCCTCGCAGTTCGGGTCCGCCTGCGCCCGGGGAGAGATCCTGTCAGGAGCGAAAGAAGGACGTACATGTACATGAATCCACGCTGGTTTCGAGAGTACGCACTGCGCAGATGTTAGTATGACGCGGGCGGTCTCGCGGATCGAGGGGCCGTGTTCATGTACATAGCTGGGCGCGTACGTCCTTTGTGGGCTCCCTATCCTGGGAGCAGCGGCGTAGGTGCCTTTTGTCCCCCCGCTTTGCAACGTGACGCAGATCAGGAGGGGGGCTTTGAGCACTTTCTGGCCCCTGGGGGCCGCTCAGAAACGACGCAGGGCGAACAGCCAGACCCCGGGACAGGATCCAGCCCTCCGGGCGTCCACGTCCCAGAGATCCCATAGTTTGCTTTTGTTCCAAACTGGGGTACTCCAGATTTCGTAATAAAGGGAGGGGGGTCTCATTTCGGGGGGGGGTCTCTTCCAGGCTATCTTGGAGGGCCTGGGGGGGTCTGGGGACGATGTTTTGGAGGGTTCTCCCACGGGGGAGGTCTGAAATTGCTTGTCTTGGAGGGTCCAGACCCCCTCCCTTTTATTACGAAATCTGGAGTACCTGGAAGTCCCGACCCTTTCACCGAGGCTGGTTCTGCGTCTAGTTTTTTGGTGACGGTCCCGGGGACCGGCGAGGGCCCCCAAGGGCCGAAGACTGCGGAAAACCTATGCATTGTTGTTTCAATGCGTCGGAGGTTTGGGATCGTGATCAAAACATGACGTCGGGGGTCTGAGAGTATGCATACAGATTCGTGGGGCGCTGGTAGGTGTCAGCGCCTGGCGCGTTTCCCCACGGCTCTGTCTGGTGCGCTCCCTCCGCGCTGGAGCCAGGGGGTGTCCGTGGCTTCCTAAGAAATCCGCGGGAGCCGCTGAAAGTTTCTGCCCACTTGGGTCACCGCTGGGGTTGCTAAGGGGACAGGGGTGTTCGAAATGTATGTGAATGAGAGTTCTACCAGGAGGGAAAGAAACACACAGACACAATTAATCGTCGATTCCCCAGAAAATATGGGGAAATATGGGAAGTGGGGGGGAAGACAAAAACCCAGAACATATGGGAAAATATGGGGATTTTTTTTTTATTTGTGTGTATTAAGTTGTGTGTTCTGGGGCCCCTTGATTCTACCTCGACTGACCTGGCTTAGAAGTGGGTGAGGATGTCCTTAGAGGCTTATGCTGTGGGAGTACGGATCCGGGCTTCATGGGTGGAGCCCACTCGGCGGAGTTCTCCAACCACCCTGCGCCACTCTCGGGGCATTTCTGAACCCACGCCAAGGCAGCCCAGGCAAAACCCATCTTAGCATCCACGTCTACCCCCCTATCCTCTTAGCAACACCCTGATCCGAGTACTCTGACATCCAACGTTTCGCGAAACAGTACGAAGCCGTGGGACATCACGACGGGAGCCCCGGACCCTATCCTTCTGCGGCGTGTTTCTTCGAGGCGCACCGATATCGGTGATGGCCCCGAGGGGGGCCCGAGACTGGAAATTGCCCGGTGGGAAGGACAGTTGCCACACACCCAGATATCTCAGGGTACTGCCCGAGAGTACGGGATCGACTGCTGCACTGATTTACCCCAGATGTGATTCCTCCGTCTACAGGGCGTAGAGTGCGCCGTATGCATGTCGTCGATGGATCAATCGAGGCTTGGGGTGAATCAGCTCTGCAGTCGATCCCTTACTCGAGCCGCCGCCTCCTGCCCTTCTGGCCAGACCCTGTTCTACCTCCCGCCCGCCAGCCCGCCGCTGGCGCTGCTCCCGGGGGCCCAGCTCTCCGCGCGGGTGGAGCTCCGGAGGCCCCCGGAGAACCCCCGGTACCTGACCGGAGGGTCCCATGAGGGTTTTTTTTTGGAGGGAGAAGGTGCTCCAGATCGAGAGCCCCCCAGGGGGCCTCGGGGCCCTGTCAAAACGGGGGGGGCGCGAAGCCCCTGGGGGAGGAGGATTCCTAACAAATGGGAGAGAACGATTCCACAAAATATAGTTGCCTGCTGTTTCTGCACCACTCTCTGACCAGGGGGCCCCTCCTGGAGCACCCCCTCCCCCCCAAAAAAGCCCTCCCTTGGCACCCTCCGGGCCGACGCTGGGGCTCGCCGCCGAGCTGCAGGGCGGCGCCGCGGGGGGCCCGCGCGGGGTGGAGCACTCGTGGACGCTGCGGTCCTACGCCCCCGAGGGCGCCCGGGCGCCGCCGCTGCCGGTGGCGCGGGTGCGGGGCACGTCGCGGGCCGCGTGCTACGGAGGGGCGCGGTGAGGGGCAAGAGGAGCTCCTCCTCCTCCTCCTCCTCCTCCTCCTCCTCCTCCTCCTCCTCCTCCTCGGAGCTCGCCCTTCGCCGCCCACCAGGCCGCCCCAGCCCAACCCTGCAGTCGGGCCTGTGCCTCTGCAGGAGGAGTGCTCCAAGATAGTCAAAGAGATCTATGGGGACGATGTTCTGGCTATGTTTGAACATGTTTGGAGTATTGCTAGAGTGTTCTAGTTTTCGCCCCAAATCCCCCTGTAGGGGGACAGGCCCGCCCTACACCCAACCCGAAGGCTCCGATTTGCCGTCCATTTCCAGCAAGGGGTGGGGGGCATCGGGGAACATTGAAAAAGCACATCTGAAGCCCGCACCCCCCCGCCACCCGAAATTCGGGCCTTCGGCTTCGGTTGGGGTGGTCTGGTAGGTAGTCATCTCCCCTCCCTTCCCTTGGGGGAGGGCACGATGCCGGTGCCGCTGCTCGTCACCACGCCTGCAGGATTCGCGTCGACACCCGGGTCAGAGCATGCCCGGGAGAGGTCCAGGAAGCGGCGGTATGGGTATGTTTCGGCTGTGCGTGAGAGTGGCCCTTCGCCGGAGTGACCTTTTGTGCGGGCCCACAGGGGTCCAGCCAACTAATCGCTGCCTCGCTGAAGCGTAGCGTGACTTTCGTTCGAGGAGGGCTGAAGTTGCAGCTACATGGCATAAGCCAGCCACGTGCCACACAGGACTCAGAGCTCTCCCAGCTCTCTTTCTTATGCGTGTGTGTGTGTGTGACGATGCTCGATCGCAGTTAGCACTTCCATCTGCCGCCCACGCTTGAGGACCCTCTGCGCTGCCGACTTCGAAGTGTGTGTGTGTGTGGGCAGGTGTGGCGGAGGTCGGGAGGCAAGCAGGCAAGCGGGGAGACACAGAAAGGCAGAGGCGAAGCAGGAGGCGAAGCACCCGAGTTTTCAAATACATGCTACAGACAGGACGTGCTCACTGCCCCCATCGCTCGTACGCGTCGGGCGAACGGCGCCTCAGCACTGCCGAGTCCTGGCCGAGTCGTGTCCGCTCTTGCATGCTATCTGGTGCCATGTTTCTGGAGCTCCTCGAGCGCGGGAGCTCTGATGTGCCTGCGTACCTGTGCGCGTCATCGGTAGACTTGCCGAAGCGTTTGCTGTACCGGACTTGTCGAGGTGCCCAGGCTGTGACGCACCCGACCATGATATGTGCTCTAGTAGCGCCGTGTTCAAGCACTCCGAGTGCCCGAGCGCGGCGCTACTCGGTACCTGATGCCAGCGGTCGTGCCAGGGACCTAAACGTTGATGTGCCCCTGTCTTGAAGCACCCTGGCAACACCCCTCCGCGCAAGGGATGGACAGAAGCAAGGTGGATACTGGGGGCTGGCGAAGAGAGGCGCAGAAAGAGGACGAAGGAGGAGAGATGACCACGGAGGGAGGGAGGAGGACGAGGAGGAGGAGGAGGAGGAGGAGGAGGAGGAGGAGGAGGAAGAGGTGGAGGTAAGGAAGAGGGAAGGAAAGGAGAAGGAGGAGGAGGAGGAGTGAGGAGGAGGAGGAGGAGGAGGAGGAGGAGGAGGAGGAGGAGGAGGGGAAGGAGGAGGAGGAGGAGTAGGACGAAGAGGATGATGAGGATGACGAGGAGGGTGAGAAGGGGGAGGGCGAGGAGGACGATGGACTGTTCATGAGCAGGAGAAGGATGGGGAATGAGCTGGGGATAGAAGGGGGGGTAACGGAGGAGGGAGCAGAGGCGAGACGCGTGCGCTGTGCGCCACCCTTCTCAAGGCAAAAGGCGACGGCCGGCTGGTGGGCGTGATGACCTTCTCCAGCATGCCCATCGGCCTTCGGCGGATGCTGGACGTGGCCTTCGAGGCTGCTCTCCTCCCCCCTTCCTCCTCGCTCCCCCCTGTCCCCATCTCCCCGTTTCCCCCCTAATCCCTCATCCCCCCTCTCCCCGTCCATCCTACGAGCGAGGAGCGAGCAGCGACACGGCGCGAGGTCGGTTCGGTGTTCCTCGAAGGCGTGCGTCAAACTCGCAACTGCTGGGCGGGTGCCCCCCCCTAGGAAGCCACAGGCGAACACGGAGCGAGGAGGAGGAGGACGAGGAGGAGGAGGAGGAGGAGGAGGACGAGGAGGAGGAGGACGAGGAGGTTCACGAGGAGGAGGAGGAGGAGGAGGAGGAGGAGGAGGAGGAGGAGGAGGAGGAGGAGGAGGAGGAGGAGGAGGAAGAGGAGGACAGCGAGCAGCGAGCAATCATCGGCGGCAGCGGCGAGCCGCGAGGTCTGCGAGAATGCCGTCGCCCCCTCGGACGACGCGCGGCAGCCCGGGCGGGAGCCGGCCCTCATCGTCATGGGCGCTGGGCAGGACGGACGCCCCCGCCCCTTCGGAGATCCTCGGGGACCACTGCGGAGGCCTTTGGCGGCCCGCGGCGGCTGCCTCGGCGGCCCTCGGCGGAGGCCTTCGGCGGCTGCCTCGGCGGCTGCCTCGGCGGCTGCCTTGGCGCCTGCCTCGGGTGCCACGAGGGCGTTGTGTTTTCCTGCCGATCATGGGCGTGACGGGTGGGGGGGAAGGAGAGCGGGAGGAGGGGAGGTGGGTGGAGGGGGCCTATCACGTCGCGATTCGTGTTGGCGCCGTCTGGGACTGCTTCTGAGTCACAATTCTTGACGCTTCGCGTATCCCCCACCAGACCCTTTGCGCGACTATCGACGTTCCCCCTTCTGGTCCACCACGGCCCCCGTCTGACGCACGCCGCTTGGTTCCCCCGTCCTCCGTGATGGATAAGCTGCCTGCGTTGTTCGCACGCTCTCCTACGAGGGGACCCCGACATTCCAGGTCTAGCAGTTTAGGTTCGGACTCCGCGGCTGCACCGACGTCAGTCCATTGGTCAATGGCTCACGGCGACTCGCGCCCATGAGTTCAAGTGAGTGAGGCTTCCCCAGCCACCCCTCCTTGCCCGCGCCTTCCCCGCTTTCTTGCCTCCTAGTGGTGAGCGGTGCGGCCCCACGTGCCCACTGTCCTGCCTCTTGGCTGTTTGGCCCTAGCCTGCGCTCTCCGGGCTGCACGGTTTGAGCTGGCGCCACTGTGCGTCTTCTCTCCGTCTGCTCCAGTCTGGTGCCTGCGTCCCCGTTCACGGGTCGCTCGCATCGTAATTGGGGGCATATTGCCTCTTGCAGGTGCACTTGTTGCGGCGGCCTATGCGCCTTCGTAACCAATTATCTCGCCTGTGCCCCAGACGTGCTTGCCCCGCTTCTTGGACTCTTCCTTGGAGCCACCAATCAAAAAAATATCCCCCACCAGCCCATCCAGAATTGATTGCCAGTTTTCTTGAGGCCTCTTGGAGGCTATCTTGAGCCATGCTCGGCTATTGGCTGTCGGAGGCTCTCTTGAGCCATGCTCGGCTATCTTGGGCCATCTTGAGGCTGCCTTGAGGCCTCTTGGAGGTCTGTCGGAGGCTATCTTGAGCCATGCTTGGCTATTTTAGGCCATTTTGAAAACCAGATTTGCCTATCTAGGGCTATTTTGGAGTCATATTAGGCTAAACAGGGCGGGGTGGAGGGTCTTTGGCGAGAGGCTGGGAGGGGTCATTTTGGACCCCATGGCTCAAAAAGAGGAGGTCCCTCAATTAGCATCGCCCCCTCGGAGGCTCTCAGACGGCATCTTGGGGCCCTCTTGGAGCGCTCTTGGGCGCCTCTTGGGCGATCTTGGGGCCGTCTTCGGCCTTCTTGGGCCCTTCTTGGGCCTCTTTTGGGCCATCTTGGGGCCATCTTGAGGTTTCCCAAACCCATCGGAAGCGAAAAGACGATAATGCCAAACACATTGATTTTCCTTAGGCTCTCGAAGGGTTTTGGCATCTTGGCGGGCGCCGTGGAGGGCTCGGAGGGCACTTGGATCCGTCTTGGGGTTGTCTTGGGGCCTCTTGGGGGTATGTCGGAGGTTATCTTGACCCATCTTGAAGTAGCATGGGCCATCTTGGAGGCCATCTTGCGACTTTGAAGCCCTCTTGGGGCCTTCTTGGGTCATCTTGGACGCTGCGGCGCCTCCGTCTCCCCCCCCTCCCAGGCCCAGGGGGGGGTAGGGGGAGGGGTCAAGTCACCCCCTCCCCGCCCGCAAGCCGTCTCGCTCACTCCCACCCGCCCACATACGTAGCACCCGAGTCTGGCCCGAGGCTCAGCATATTCAGCAGTCGTCTTTGGATGGGCAGCTACTGGGGGCCAATCCGCCGCCGCCGCCGCCGCCGCCGCCGCCGCCGCCGCCGCCCGCCGCCGCCGCCCGCCGCCGCCGCCGCCCGCTGCCCGCCGCCGCCGCCGCCGCAGCCGCTACGCCGCCGCCGCCGCCCGCCGCCGCCGCCGCCGCCGCCGCCCCCGCCGCCGCCGCCGCAGCCGCCGCCGCCGAGCCGCCGCCGCCGACGCCGCCGCCGCCGCAACCGCCGCCGCAGCCTCCGCAGCCGCCGCCTCCGCCAAGTGTGCTGTGTATTGTTTTTTGACAAGGATGGTGGGTGGGGGGCCGCATCGGGTTGGCTGCGCATGTTCCGAATTTGGAGACAGAGTTTTTTGTTTTTACCAGGGATGGCGGGGGGGTGTTGGCATGGACCTGGGTTGGCCCCCAGTCGCCTGGGGGAGGGGGTGTTTATTGAATCGCTTCGTTCATTCCGCCGGCCCGTGATATGGCATCGCTGGTTTTTGTCTGTGTGTTCGTTGCCCATGTTGCGCTCTTGGGGGCGGGTGTCGTTCGGACGCGTTGCGTGGGGAGTTTTGATGGTGAAGCAGTTCCCTGGGGGTCGTCTCTCGATGGGGCGAAATAGAGTCGTCGTCAAGATGCTTCTTTGGGGGGCCTCTTGGGGTCTGTTGAGAGGCCGTTCGGGGGCGCCTGGGAGACATGTTTGAAGCCTTCTGGGGCTTCTTTTGGGCCTCCTGGGAGTCTCCTGGGGCCTCTTGGCGACATCTTGGGGCCTCTTGGAGGCCTCTTGGGGCCTCTTTGGGACCTCCTGGGCGCCTTCTGGGACGGAGGGCTCCATTTTTGAGTTCTCGGTATCCCTCCTGAGTCCCTCTTGGGCCCGTCTTGGGGCCTCTTGGTCCGTCTTGGGCGGCACTTGGGCCGTCTTGAGGGCTCTCTTGGGTCATTTCGGCGCCGTCTTGGGAGCTTCGTGGGCCGTCTTGGAGCGGTCTTGGGGGCCTCTTGGGCCGTCTTGGAGCGTCCGGAAGCCGAAAAAGCCAGAACACAAAAAACATCGAAAAAACCAATGAAAATCAACGATTTTGGCCTCTTGGGGCTCTCTTCGGAGGCCTCTTGGAAGGCTCTTGGGGCGTCTTGGAGGCCTCTTGGGCTGTCTTGGGGGCCTTTTGGGCCGTCTTGGGGTCATCTTCGGCGTCTTCGAGCGCTCTTTGGGCGTCTCGGGGGCCTCTTGGGCAGTCTTGGGGGCCTCTTGGGGCACTCTGAGCGCGCTCTGGGGAGCCTGAGAGGCCGCACCCAGAAGGAAAACCATCTCTGAGTAGACTTGGTCGGGCGGCGGTCGGGCGGCGACCGGGCGTTGGTCGGGGTACTTTTCGCCGGGGGACCCCCAGGGGCCGCCCCGCGCGCGCGAACTAGAAATACTGTTAATACTGTTAACCAGTTACCGGAGATCTTAGCACGCCCTGGCCCGTTGGGCCGGCGAATTCATAAGGAACAGTGATAGAAAGAAGAAAAAACGCGTTATACCACCTAAGCCCAGAGGGCTGGTGGGATTCCCTGACGGCACTGGCGCGAGTCCTGACGTGACCAGAGGGGGGCGGCGGGGCTGGTCGCGGGCATGATCGCGAATGATCAAAAATGGAGCTCCTGTCCCCGACACCCCTTTGTGTGCGGTCCTCCAAGGTAGCCTCAGAGGGTCCAAAAATCCTTTCGGCTTTTGGCATTTCGCTGGATCTGGTCGACATCGTCGAAATCTGGAGCTCCATCGGCGGCCACCGGCGGCGGTGGCGGCCTTCGGCTACCTTCGGCGGCGGCTTTCGGTGGCCCTCGGCGGCCTTCGGCGGCCTTCGCTTACTTTCGGCGGCGGCCTTCGGCGGCGGCCTTCGGCTCGACGGCGGCCCTCGGCGGCCCTCGGCGGCCCACGGGCCTCTGCGGCGGCCCTTCGGCGCGGGGCCCCGGCGGGCCAGGCAGCCAGGGCGACGGCGGCGGCAGAGGCGGCGGCCAAGGCGGCGGCGGCGACGGCCATCGGATGCCTCGGGGGACCTCCGGTCACCTCTGGCGACTTCCCCGGAGATCCCATGGAGACCTCGCGAGGCCCGCGGGAGGAGGAGGAGGAGGAGGAGGAGGAGGAGGAGGAGGAGGAGGAGGAGGAGGAGGAGGAGGAGGAGGAGGAGGAGGAGTAGGAGGGGAGCGGAGGAGGAGGAGGAGGGAGGAGGAGGGAGGGGAGGAGAGGAGGGGAGGAGGAGGAGGAGGAGGAGGAGGAGGAGGAGGAGGAGGAGGAGGAGAGGAGGAGGAGGAGGAGGAGCAGGAGGAGGAAGGAGGAGGAGGAGGGAGGAGGAGGAGGAGGAGAGGAGGAGGAGGAGGAGGAGGTGGGGCTGCCTCTGCCCCTGCTGCTGCTGCTGCTGCTGCTGATTTCCCTCACCTTCGGACCTCCTTCCGTATCAACTGTGGCTCAAAGTGTTGCATCCAGGAGGGGTCGTCGCCTCCTCCTCCTCCTCCTCCTCCTTCGTCCCTCCTCGTCCCTTCCTCGTCCCTCCTCGTCCCTTCCTCGTCCCTCCTCGTCCCTTCCTCGTCCCTCCTCGTCCCTCCTCGTCCCTCCCTTCTCCCCCTTCCCCCGCCCTCCTCACCCCGAGAATGAAGCCGTCCGTTGCCTGGTTGCCGGCGCTGGTCGCCGCCGCCGCCACGGTGCCCGTGCCAGCATCAGGCAGCCGCGCCTACGTGGGAGGCGCGGTGGTCGTCCCGCTGCACCTCCACGAGCGCTCTCCGGCGATGGGCGGCGTGCCAAGCGTAGGGTGGACTCCTTCTCCTCCTCCTCCTCCTCCTCCTCCTCCTCCTCCTCCTCCTTCTCCTTCTCCTTCCTTTACACTCGTCTCCTCCTCCTCCTCCTCCTCGATGACTCGGTGTTGCGGACGAGTTCGCGTCGAAATACAGATGCCCTCGAGCCGCCTCCCGCCGTCTGCGGGGGGAGGGCGAACATTGGGGCGGTTCGTTTTTAACATGTGGTTTTCGCTTTAGCGCCGCGCGCACTCGTCTTAAACGCGTGCAATTGTTTCATGGGTTCCCAGGTCAACGTACCAGAACTGGTGTTTCGGAGCGATTCAGGATTGTCAACGCGTGCCACAACTTGTGTTTGGCAGGATTCAGGATCTTCAAGGAGCAACAGTCAGGTTAATCCTTGGCGATGGAGTCCCGAGAATGGTG